TAATTTTTAAATTAATCCCATAAATTTTAATAATTTTTTTTTTTTTTTGTTTGAAATTATTAATTAAAAATGTTCAAAATTTTTGATCGAAAAATTCGCAACCCTGGTTTATACTAAGCTAATCATTACAAAAAGATAAGCATTACAAAGAGTCTTCGATTCTGAAATTTCGTCCCAGTTGGTACCAAAGTACGCTCGATAGAATCTTGTGTAATTGGCAAGCAAGTTGGCCTCACGATTGTTGTCCAATTTGTTGGATCGTAGCATATCTAATTTTTATTCAAAACTTTGAAGTCCATATTGGGATCCTAATAGGCCTAATGATCAGTACCATGAAATCAACGAACATAGCATCATTTGGCAGCGCAAACGAAGGGGGTGGGTTCATATTTCCCCTAGCCCGGATATACTGAAAACTCTTCGAAGAACTGTTATGTTAGATATTTCAAAGAATTCAGCTACATAAATCATATTTATTATCGTGCAATATGACTTATAGTATGTTACTAACAACAAAATTCTAATGATGCTAGTGCAACCTGGTTTAAAAAATAAAAGTTTTTAAAAATAAAATAATAGAGAGTAAAAAGAATTAAGCAGCAAACTCGTTAAAGATAATATTTTAAGGCGAAGATGAAATTTTTGTAAAATCATTTTTATACTATCCTTTACGAATTCAGATCCTTAGAAGTAGTCAATATCAATCAAACTGAGCCCATGGTGTATTTAATGTCCAGAAATCTAGTAAATTCACGAAGAACATGTAAATTTATTTAAACTTACTATACGTCTACAAAACCCTGATACATTTACATTGCCAAGTAGATCGACAACCACACAACAGTTGCTTTACCTAATAGGGTTATAGAATAATTTTCTCATCTCGGTTCATCAAAGCAAGGGGGGTGGATATCGATAAATATCTTTGAAACTAGAAACTAGAGCCCTCGCTGCCATCAATTAATCATTCGGCTTCAAAATACACAAGTAAAGCTTTTTTGACTTGAAAAGTTCTAAGAGGATGCGACGTTTTCGAACCAAATGATATTTTTTTCCTGTGAGGATATTTAAAGCCGGGCCTTAGAGTGAAACATCACGCTCGTTATTCGCCAGTTACCGGTCGAAATGCTCAAACGAGTCATCGAAAATCGGACTCAAAGGATGGACCATCTGAGACATAGCCAACATTTGAAAGAGATAATCTTCAAAGAATAAATGTCAGTTCATATTCCCCATTAAATTTGAAGTTTCTGTATTTTTTCTTTAACATTGTAGGAAACCTCGAAATTTATCACCCCTTAGTTGTTTGCAACAAAGTTGTGGTTTAAATTCTCTTCACTGAGTTATTTATCTAAAAGATAAATATTTATCTAAAAGGTAAAAATCTAAAAGATAAAACAATTATAACTCTCCTTGTATTCCATCGCCTATTGGAGGATAGTGTACAATAAATCGATATTCCTTGAAACACATTTAGATGTAAAATTTCACATGAATAATTTATTGTTTTCTTGAATTGCAAAAAACGATTAATAGTCTTCTCACATGCATAGTATGCACATATTATAAATTGTTACGATAAGTATTGCCAGCATTTAAAGATATCATTGACCATTCCTATTATTTATTACAGGTCTAATGCGTTGTACACATCTTTTATGACCTTGGACTACAACAGTATGCTTTGTCCGCAGTAAGAGCAGCGCCTTTGCCCTTTCTTTCAATGATTTTCTTAGTTTTACACCATTTTCCCTACATATTTTTAGCCTTCTTCTTAGACGGCTTACTATCTTCCTCAATTCCTTAATCAGTTCAGTTTGTGCTGCGGTGCTAAAGCTGTAGCTGTCAGTTTCAGAATCAATTGCGGTGGTATGTAGAAGAGTCACTGTCATCCTCAGTAGTAATGGTAGCCTCAGTGGTAGCAGAATCGCATTTTTCAATTTGCAGCAACAGTGCAAATGATACAAATGCAATGCACCCAACCGTAATGCACCTCATTTTGCTTAACTCGATCAATTGCTGAATCCAAGATTTTGAATATAGACTGTGCAATTTATACTGAATATAGACCAAAGCAAGCTCTCTCGAACGCACCAAAATTGATTTAAATAAGTCGGCAAAATAAGAAAGACACAATATTGCAATTCGAATAAACATGTTATTATTTGATCGGCATCCAGACTTTGAATATTGAGTTAAACAAAACACTGAAGACACCTAAGGAAGCGCTAGGTTCGAGCTAGACGGAATATTTCACACTCACACTCAAAGCTTAATTATGAAACACTTAAGATTCAAACCCACGCCTACCAATCTTTTTATACTCTCGCAACAAAGTTGCTAAAGAGAGTATTATAGTTTTGTTCACATAACGGTTGTTTGTAAGTCCTAAAACTAAAAGAGTCAGATATAGGGTTATATATACCAAAGTGATCAGGGGGACGAGTAGAGTTGAAATCCGGATGTCTGTCTGTCCGTTCGTCCGTGCAAGCTGTAACTTGAGAAAAATTGAGATATCATGATGAAACTTGGTGCACGTATTTCTTGGCTCCATAAGAAGGTTAAGTTTGAAGATGGGCAAAATCGGCCCACTGCCACGCCCACAAAATGGCGGAAACCGAAAACCTATAAAGTGTCATAACTAAGCCATAAATAAAGATATTAAAATGAAATTTGGCACAAAGGATCGCATTAGGGAGGGGCATATTTGGACGTAATTTTTTTTGAAAAGTGGGCGTGGCCCCGCCCCCTACTAACTTTTTTGTACATATCTCGAAAACTACTACAGCTATGTCAACCAAACTGTATAGAGTTGTTTCCTTTAGGCATTTCCATATACAGTTGAAAAATGGAAGAAATCGGATAAAAACCACGCCCACCTCCCATACAAAGGTTATGTCGAAAATCACTAAAAGTGCGTTAACCGACTAATAAAAAACGTCAGAAACACTAAATTTTACGGAAGAAATGTCAGAATTAGCTGCATCCAGGTTTTTTTTTAAAATTGAAAATAGGCGTGGCGACGCCCACTTATGGACCAAAAACCATGTCTCAGGACTTAGCCCTTCCTTACTTGTTTTAATTTCGATTTCAAAATTGGAGAGAAGGTTTATCTTTGCTGTACCAAGTAACAGTCCAATTTTCCGATTCTGCCTGACTGCAATACGGAAACAAGTTTTCCAAGCTCATCAAGATAGCTCAGAATATCTCAATACTCTCTTTCTACTTGTATGTACAAGTTATGTGAACAAAAGAAAAGTCGAAAAGGCTTTAAAGTGCACCACATCTCGGCAATCGAAGAAAACTGAGATTTTTGTTACTTGTTAAGATTAGATAAAGTATTTTTTTTTTAATGGGTTGGTTTTTCTACGTGGCGGGTCCCAAACCCAGCGCACAACCCTATGTAGAGCTACCCAGAGGATACTTGGTCAAGGACCGGAAGTCTTGAGCTGCTTGAGTCATATGTAAAAGAATCGTTTCTGGCCACTCCCAAGTGAATGGCGATCAGAGAACTTTCCTCACTTGCGTGAACTTCTACACATGACTCCATCCTCCTTTCGAATAGCAATTACCCGCCTGAAGAACAACAAAGCGGCGGGGGCCGATGGATTGCCGGCCGAGCTATTCAAACACGGCGGGGAAGAACTGATAAGGAGCATGCATCAGCTTCTTTGTGCTATGCCCAATCCTCAAAAAAGGAGACCCCACAATCTGCGCCAACTACCGTGGGATAAGCCTCCATATAAGGTTCTATCGAGCGTATTGTGTGAAATATTAAAGCCCACCGTCAACAAACTGATTGGACCTTATCAGTGTGGCTTCAAACCTGGAAAATTAACAACCGACCAGATATTCACCATGCGCCAAATCCTGGAAAAGATCCGTGAAAGGAGAATCGACACCCACCACCTTTTCGTCGATTTCAGAGCTGCTTTTGACAGCACGAACTGCTTCTGGAGAAAATAGTTCGAGCTGCAGAACTAAATAGAGAAGGTACCATCTTCTATAAGAGTGTACAGCTGCTTGATATCATCGGCCTCAACACCCGCGCCGTTAGTTCTGCTTTCTCCAGATTGGACAAGGAAGCAACACAAATGGGTCTGCCAGTGAACGAGGGCAAGACGAAATATCTCCTGTCATCAAACAAACAGTCGTCGCACTCGCGACTTGGCACTCTATTGTTGACAGTTATAGCTTTGATATAGATTTCTCCACTTCACTTCTTGCTATTTCCGAGCA